GTTGTATCTGCAGTTTCATGTAGTTGGTTCAGACAGGAACTGTTACAGAGATCTTACTGCATGTGTAACAGTGGCCAATATCTAGATCTGTTGATGGATCTCTGTATGGTTTGAATTTGATCAGAAAAGATTTCAGGCTATGGCTGTTTAGCTACAGCAGAAATAAAATAACTTTTGTCTTGCCTAAACTGTTCTCGCTAGCTTGTAATGAAATACAGGTTAGATTCAAGAAGTCAGAAGTTGGCCAACGTGGGATCTTTTTACATTGCAAAGCTAATAGTGGTACAATTCCACTTCAGTTGTCAGAACGTCATCCTCTACAGCAGTGGTTCTCAGCCTGTGGATCCCCAGGTGTGTTGGCCTTCAACTCCCAGAAATCCTAACAGCTGACAAACTGGCTGGGGTTTCTGGGAGTTGTAGGCCAAAACACCTGGGGACCCACAGGTTGAGAACCACTGCTCTACAGTTTGGTCAAGCATCAGATCCTTCTGGTTTAAGATGCTAAATGTCTCTCTCTAAATTGCAAATCCCATGATTCCATGACATGGAAATGTTGATGTTAAAGTAGGATCATAGTACTATAAATGGGTCATGTGAACAGGCCTCCAGCCTAAATAGAGTTTCTGTGTGGGGTCAACGAGCTGTCTTTTGAAGCTTCATCCACCATTTGGTAATTTCCCCCATTAAGACTCTCCTGAAGAATGTCAGAGTCCCCCAAAATAATTTTAAAATTGCATTAAAAATGTTGTTTCAAACAGTTCCCACATTTCCTTTCTTAGATCCATTCCATAAATAGCTGTCAGAATCAAAGGCGATAATATATGTGTTGCATGTCAAGATCTATACAATTCTGGAAACAACTGTGAAGTCTTCAAAGGGCCTAATTGGCCACTTTTGGCACTGATGACACTTTATTTATACAATTATCTGGTTAATGAATTTTTAAGGGATTACTAGTTCTTTCTTCAGTCCAGTAACTTGGGCCTTTTTGTTCCCAGTGTAAATGCTTACTTTTCAAGCTTTTGCTGAGGAGGCCAAGACAAAAAGAGATGCTTACTGCCGAACAGACCTCTTATGGAAACACATTCAGCTCTTATGTGTTTTCAGAGTGCCTGGAAATAACTTTGCTGCACCTCTTTAATTATGATTTTTAACTTCCCCCCTGCTTTTTAAACATCTTGCAAAATGAAAGGTAGCTTTTAATATTGAGACTTATTGTGTGTTTTTCTTTATACCTTAACTCAGAATTAATTGGTAGATTATCTAGTTATAATAACAGGAAATGAGAAACTAGAAAGAGGAAAAATGCTGAGAAGTTTAATAAGGCTCACATTGGAATGTTTGCCACTTTTTTCATGCTCTTTTTTGTATGTGTAGTCCTTCTCCCAGCTCCTGAACTCTTAGTTTGTTGTGAATGTATTGTTGCAAAGTTTCCCTGATTATCAATTGCAAACTGAATCAATTGAAAGTTTTATCGCAAGAGAGATGTCATCAAACACAACTCCCAAAATGAGAATGTTTTCATACGTTTTATTAATGTTTTTATCTAGTGTTTACTACTGCAAATCAAAAGGTGCTCGTTCTTCTTATCTGGTTCAGAGGGGAAAAGGGTGGAGAGAGGATGCTCTTGTTTTGTGGCTGTCGCGCTGGAGGTCTTGGTCTGAGTGGTCCATCCCAGAGATAAAGGTGTTGCGGGGCTGCATCTTTGCTCGTCTTCAGTTAACATGACTGATGTGGCAGAGGCATGACACCACCAGTAACATCTGGAGGTCCAAGGTTGGGAACCACCACCTTAGGAAAGGCCTCAGTCATGTTTAGAGGAACTTATTGAGACTGGAAATGCCACAGTGACATTATGTTCCCAGTAAGGATAATTTTATCAATCTTGATAAGATAGTGAAGAGTAGAGACATCACACTGGAAACAAAGATCCGCATAGTTAAAGCAGTGGTATTCCCCATCGTCACCTACGGATGTGAAAGCTGGGCCATAGGGAAGGAAGATAGGAAGGTGCTTTAGATGCTTTTGAACTGTGGTGTTGGAGGAAAGTGCTGAGAGAGCCTTGGACTGTGAGAAGATCCAACCAGTCCATACTTCAAGAAATAAAGCTTGACTGCTCATTGGTGGGAAGAATAGTACAGGTCAAGATGAAGTACTTTGGCCACATCATGAGAAGAAAGGAAAGCTTAGAGAAGACAGTGATGCTGGGGAAAATGGAAGGAAAAAGGAAGAAGGGCTGACCAAGGGCAAGATGGATGGATGGTATCCTTGAAGTGACTGGATTGACCTTGAAGGAGCTGGGGGTGGTGACAACCAACAGGGAGCTCTGGCGTGGACTGGTCCATGAAGTCACAAAGAGTCGGAAACGACTGAACGAATGAACAACAAACAAGGATAATTTAGTGGTTGTTCTTGCTGTGTGCCTTCAAGTCATCTCTAGCAATCCTAGGTTGAACCTTTCCTGGGATCTTCTGGGGATAATAATATGTGACGTGTCCAAGGTTTCCCATGGAGTTTGCCTGGTCAGGAAAGAAATTGAACTCTGGTCTCCTGAGTCGTAATGCAGTGATCAGACCATTATGCCACCCTGGATTTCTGGTAGCAGTAGCCAACTGTTTTAGATAAGATTTATTGATGTCACTTCCTCAAAGTGCTTGAGAGATCACTGTCTTCACTCTTGGTTGCAGACATATCCATGCCTGTGATCTCTCCCTTGGTCACATCATAATTTAAATGTTACAGATGTAAATCTTGTCTGTATGCTGGCCACCTTATCTCAGTGCCACAGCAAACCATACTAGTGTCCTATTTTACAGTGTTTGAAGTTGCTAAGATAACAAGAGAATCCATCAAAACATTTAGTACACTGTGTTGTGGAAAGTTAGAGATCCTAGTATATCACTTAGTTCCTTTCCTTTGAATTATATCTGTCTGTCTATCTCTCTAACCAAGGCCTGAGGTCTGCAGGAGGGTTCCTCCGCTAGAGGACATAAGGGGGTCTTCTTAACTGTGCCATACTTCCTTAAGATTAAAACTTTTCAGGTTTCATTTACTTTAAACGTACATTTACTTGGCTCTTAATGGTTGCATCTTTCAATTGTGTTTTAAATTGTTGCGTTTAAGCTGTGTTATCATGTTCAAGTTAATTAGCTGTTTTAATTTGGAATTAGATTGTTGTGAATCTGCTTCACCCTAAAATACCCCAGTGAGGGGCAGATTATAAACATACAAACAATTATAAACATACGAACAAACGAACACTTATTTGCTTAGCAGAGCAGATCACAGGATAAGTATCACAATAGTCCCTGATGAGTTTTTCAATAGTGAATTTTATATCCATGCATGGGATCCATACATGATTTACTTTGCACAATGTATGGTAAATTTAAGTCATTATCACAGATGTTGTGTCTGGACGAAAGCATATTAAAACCAAGATACCAATTTCCCCCTATTTTCCCATTAGGCCTGCATTTTTGCAGTACTCCAAAGTTGCCCTAGTCAACTAAACCACAGGTACAATTTTTGTTTCTGTGTTTGGGTGACATGTGGCTAATACATTTAGGATAAATTTCCCAAATTTTACAGAACACTCCAAACTGTGTAGCAAAAGGTTTGTGTTTGTTCTAAGTTCTTGTTAATATGATAGTTTCTTGTGGGAGGCAAAATATGGAATTTTTTGTTGTTGTTCCCAATTAGGGACCAGACTGAAGGGCAGATATTCAGATGGTAGTAGTGCTTTCTGGAATACTGTAACCATCATAGAAATGCATCAGCATCAACAATAACCTCATAACAGCAGTAGTAGTAGTAGTGAGGATGTGGGTGTATACGCACTAAAGATTGAAACTGCATCTCCCTCCCATACTTCAAAACACTATCAGAGTTTATGAGAGCCCTGGGGGTCAAAAAACAATTAATAAATTATTTTAATAAACTAATAACTGTGCCTTGCAGTTTAACCACTTTGATGTCTCCTGGAAAACCATTCTGACAACTTCTGCTGTAAATTTCTTGGCCCTATCTCCTACATCCGTGATGGTGAACTTATGACATGCGTGTCAGCACTGACACACATGGCTATTTTTGATGACACGTGGCCACATACAGAGAAGTACACCTTATAAGAGCCAATCTAATTCCATCCTTAAACTTGTAAAAGGCTCTACAAATTTAACATCTGCACGTTTGAGCATTGTTCACTCCATAACTCAGCATGGAATATACATTTTTCTTATTGAAACTATAAATATTGCAAAATTATGGGGGTTTTTTCTCTCGAAGTTGACACTCCAACCAAGTTATGCTCAGGTTTTTGGCAAATTTTGACACACCAAGCTCAAAAGGTTGCCCATCACTGTCCTACATCTAATGTTTTACATGATGCAGATTTCTTAGCAAAGCAAAAACAGTGTGGGGAGAACGGAGGGAGATGCTCCTTAAAATCCTCAATTGAAATGCTAAGGAAGTTTCACATATATACATGCATATATATGGTAGTAAGATTTATAGCTTCCTTAATATGAGGGGGGCAGACTGACAAATTCCCGTCAGAAAGCATGTTAAATGTGGAAACGTGCACCAAAATGAGCGTTGTTTCTCCAAAACGAGATCAGTCAGCTGTGTCGGCTCCGTGTATGAGCTGCAAACGACAGGCTTGGGAGAATATTGCGCATCATCGGCAATTGAAGGGAATTTCCATCTGGTCTGCGTATGTTTCAGACCTCTTGTCTGGATTTTGTTGGAATTGTGTATGTTTTCGTTTAAAACCAATGCAACGGTTTTAGGTAGCAGGAGCATGGACCCTTTGTCAAGTAGATGGTTATTTCAGTGTGTTGTGTTGTTCCCTCTCTTATATTTTTTGCTTTTGTTTTGGTTGGGGATTGAGGAGTTGAGTGGATGTGTACACTTCTATTTTGCAAAAGAAAGGACGGTGTCTGAGCCGAAGCACTGACGTATACACACATGCACACGCACAGTGAGACCCCCGAACTTACCAGACAGTATTGTCGAAAGGGCCAGCGGCATCACAAACAACCCAACCAGCAAGTCAGCCACCGCCAGAGACATGAGGAAGTAATTGGTGGCGTACTGCAGCTTCTTCTCCAGCGACACGGCTAGGATCACAAGGATATTCCCTCCGATGGTGGGTATGATCACCATCAGGGTGAGCAGAGCGGTCCAACGCAGCGTGCCAGAGGCCAGGTGCCCAGAGCCATTGTCAGAAGTGTTCATTTTGGCATCCTGTGAAAAGTGTTCCGAGATGGTGTGTTGCTCAGACATTTCGCAGTGTCTCGGAACTTGGTTTCCCGCTCCTTCTTTGTACGATCCTGGCGGAGCATCAGCATTGTAAACGGCTCATCTGCTACTGCAACAGGTTCTGCTCTGGTCACACATTTCCACCGTTTTCTCTCCTATTTCTTCCCTGGATACTCACGAAATATTTTAAAAACGAGTGTGTTGACGTGGGTCCATCCCTAAATATAAATCCCAGCCATCAGGCTGTTCTTGAACGAAAAGGAGTTGAAAACACTGTAGTAGTTTAACTCCTGGTATCTTCACACAGAGCTCTCATGTTCCAAGAGGTAGTGATGAAAAGTTTCCCCTAGATAACAAGAGGTAAAAATGCCAATTTTTAGAATTGATGTGCAGGAATTGCTACATTGAACACATGAGGGTTGATTTACTTTTGTACATTTATAATATCCAAAGTCAGTAAGAGCATCTAAAGTAAGCCTCTAATTAATTTTAATAAGGTTAAGCAGCAATCTTTTGCAAGTCTGCTCAGAAGGAATTCCTCTTAAATTCAGCATTGCTTTCAGTAATTGTATCTGGGATTATAACCTGGAAATGTCTGGAAGTCACTCTCATCAAATAGGAAAGCATAATAATGTTTTTATTATTTGTTGTTATTGATTGTAGTTTACTGTGTCTGTTTTAACCTATAATCCTTGGGCTTGTAAGCCGCCCCCAGTACTTTCAGAGAGATGGAGGTGGGGTATAAAAATAAAGTTGTTATTATTATTATTATTATTATTATTATTATTATTATTCTTTCAGCCCCATGCCTTCCTGCTGGGACCTTCACCTCTATGCACAGCAACCCAGCTCTCCTTTACTTCTTCTCCCTCTCGCAGCATACACCTTCCTCTCCTCCTTTCTCGTGCAGCAGACAGTGGCATAGCTAGTTAGTCAGTCAGTAGTGCATTAAATCACTACTGACTGAGAGATCATGAGTTCGAAGCCAGCCCGGGTCGGAGTGAGCTCCTGAACATTCATAGTCTAGCTTGCTGCCGACCTATGCAGCCTGAAAGACAGTTGCATCTGTCAAGCAGGAAATTTAGGTACCCCTTTATGCGGGGAGGCTAATTTAACTAATTTACAACATCATAAAACCTTCCAGCAATGTGCGTAAGAATGAGGAAGTACTCCATCAAGGACTCGTTGTCACAAGTAGATGGAATCGAGCATACTCTCATTAAGCAGGAAAAGCTAGAATGTTAAATTGCCTCTGTGTCTGTCTATATATGTTTTTTGTCTGTGGCATTGAATGTTTGCCATGTATATGTGCATTGTAATACGCCCTGAGTCCCCTGCGGGGTGAGAAGGGCAGAATATAAATACTGTAAATAAATAAACTAGATTTTAGATTTTGTAAATTCGTGAACTATAGACTGAATCTGTGGACAACTTCTATCACTCCCTTTCCTCTCATAAACAGATTCATTACAGTCATTCTTTTGATTCCAGTCTTGGCACTTATTTATTGTCAGGACACACAACATGTTACAATTTGTGCATCGTCAGAACAACAAGGATTATTACTAACAGTTTGGAAGGAATATTACTAACAATTTGGAAGGAATATGATCTTACCTTTAATTTGCCCAACTGGAAAGGGTTGGAAGAATTCTCCTGCTGCTCTAACTGGATAAATTTCTCCAAAGAGAGTGTGCTTGTTGTCTTCTTAATTCGTCACATTTTTTCAGACGTCTTCCTCTAATTGCATTGCGTTCTTCGAAGGCAGCCAGCCAGCCATGCACTTTCACAACTGAATTTTCCAGCACAGTCAGAGATCCACTTTGGGATTATGCCCTTGGCTTCCTATTTTTTTTTATTATTAGTATTGTCAAGTCGAAGGGGAGAATGCCTTGAGTCCGGCGCCTCCTTCCCGCTGCCCTGCTGTTGTTGAATCTCTCCGTAATTTCACATGCTTATCGGGTCTCCCGAAGGCTCCCCAGCCCTTCCTCTATCTCCATCTCCCTCTCTGTGCTGCCTCCTCTCTCTTTCATTCGTTGGCTAAACTTGCAGCCTGCCGGTATCATCTGTTGATTGACTCATTCCAGCGCATCCAGCTGCGGCGCATAAAAGCGGAGTAACAAATGAGCGGAGATTCTCTCCGCCACTCCTTTTGGGGTTTTTTTTGCATCTGGACGAGAGCCACAGAGGTTATTTCTTACTTATTTTTCCATTCAGTGTTCCAAACCTGCAGCGCCCGGCCTGGGTCCCTAACTCTAAATCAAGCATAGGCAAACTTGGGCCCTCCAGGTGTTTTGGACTTCAACTCCCACAATTCCTAACAGCCATAGGCTGTTAGGAATTGTGGGAGTTGAAGTCCAAAACACCTGGAGGGCCCAAGTTTGCTCATACCTGCTCCAAATGGATTGTGGTTCTCAATCTATGCGTACCCAGATATTTTGGCATTCACCTCCCAGAAATAATCTTATATATATATATATATAATGCTCTGTGCATAATGAGTTCCTTAAAAACAAAAGAACCAATGAACGAAATCACACCAAATTTGGCAACAAAACGTCTCACAACACAAGGAGTGACCATCACTCAAAAAATTAGGATTTTGTCATTTGGGAGTTGTAGTTGCTGGGATTTATAGTTCACCTACAATCAAAGAGCATTCTGAACTCCATCAACGAGGGAATTGAATCAAACTTGGCACCAGAACTCCCATGACCCACAGACAACACTAGAAGGGTTTGGTGGGCATTGACCTTGAGTTTGGGAGTTGTAGTTCACCTACATCCAGAGAGCACTGTGGACTCAAACAATGATAATCTGGACCAAACTTGGCACAAGCACTCAATATGCCCAAATATGAACACAGATGGAGTTTGGGGGAAATAGAGAGAGAGAGAGAGAGATATGATTCACGCACACAGAGATATAGTATCACAGATTTGAAAGGGACCCCTAAAGAAGGACAATGATATGTTGCATGTTCCAGAGTAGGCAAACCAAACAATCTCCACATCAACACTGACCCATAAACAACAAGGAATACTGTTTACCCACAAACATAAAGACATAACATAGATTAGAAACCCTTACTCTATTTTCCAGATCACCAGACTGGGCCACAGCAACGCGTGGCAGGGGACAGCTAGTAATCTATATAAATAAAAATGTAATGTTCGTTTGCGGGATTAACAGAACTCAAAAACCACTGGACGAATGGACACCAAATTTGGACACAAGACACCTAACAACCCAATGTATGTCTTTCACTCATAAAAACACTGAAAAACACAGCAGAAAAGACTTAAAAAGCCCCAAAAAGCTAAATGACGAAAAGCTAAATGACAATACAGAAAAAAGGGAAGAAAGAGGGAGGGAAGGGGAGAAAAGAAAGAAAGAAAGAAAGAAAGAAAGAAAGAAAGAAAGAAAGAAAGAAAGAGAAAAGAAAGAGGGAGGGAAAGAAAGAAGGAAAGGGAGAAGGAAGCATGGAAGCAAAGAGAGAAGGAAGGAAAGAGGCAGAGAAGGAAGAAAAGAGAAAGAGGGAGGGAAAGAAAAAGGGGGAAGGAAGGAAAGTTAGAGAAGGAAGGAAGGAGATAAGGAAAGAAAAAAGGGAAAGAAGGAAGGAAAGAGGGAGCGAAGGAAGGGGGAAGATGTAGAGAAAGAGGGAGGGAAGGAAAGAAGGAAAGAGAGAAGGAAGAAAAGAGACAGCAGAAGAGAAAGAAAAAGGGGAAAGGAAGGAAAGAGCTAGAGAAGGAAGAAGAGAAGAAAAACGGGAAGGAAATAAGAAATGAAAGAAGGAGAGAAAGAGGGAAGGTTAGCCACAGCAAAGCGTGGCGGGTACAGCTAGTAATAAGAATAAAACTTTAAAACAAGGGACTCGGAGCGGCTTACATGAGGCCAAGCCCAACAGTACATCAATAAACAAAAGCAATAAACAAAAACAGTAAATGCAATACAATTAATATAAATCACATATAAACAATAAACAGTAACACATCTATGGCCGGGCCAAATGTAATAGTTTAAAAATTAAAAAATAAACGCTGGGCATGAACAAGGTAGGATATATCTGGTATAGGGTTTTCAAAGAGAGATGAGGGAACACAGCCAATCCTAAACCAGTAGTAAAGTGCATTCTGAGGGCATATTGCTGAGAATTTTCCTTATTCTGGGAAGGAACTCTGGAACCAGCCACGTTTTCAGGCTCTTCTTAAAGACTGCCGGAGTTGGGGCATGCCTGATGTCCTTGGGAAATGAGTTCCAGCGTCAGGGGGCCACCATCGAGAAGGCCCTCTCCCTCGTCCCCACCAATTGTGCCCGCAAAGGAGGTGGGAACGCGAGCAGGGCCTCTCCAGATGATCGTAGAGGTCGTGTGGGTTCGTACACAGAAATGTGGTCACGGTAAACTGGCTGGAATTTCTGGGAATTGTAGGCCAAAACACCTGGGGACCCACAGGTTGAGAACCACTGTGTTAGGAGTATTTAAATTCTTTTGTCACGTTAGAAAGATTTCCAGTTTGTATGACACTCACAGCTTCTGCTTTATCTCTCATCTTTCTCATGCCTCAAGTGCTCAAGCTGTTTCTAGCACTCATTTAATGTTTCTATGCCTCTTAACTCTGCAAAATTACTTGCTCAATGTTATGGAATCTTATATTGGTGAGACAGACTCATATTTGATATAGGAAGCTAAAAACTTGTAAAACTACAGCTCCCGTAATTCCATAGAATTGAACTGTGGCAGTTCAGGTAATGCATCAATTCTACAGTGTAACTGCACTCTAAAACCTCATATGTTCTGTTATATAATCCACAGTTTGCTGTGTCATAAACACAGCACTTATTATAATATTTTGAGAACATTATGCTCACAGAATGCCATTTAAATGTATACAGTTGTTGCTGTGGTTTGGATAATAAGGTGAAAATCATATGGGTTTTTTTTTAACTTATAGCAGTTTTTATGTTCTGAGTCATAGAATGTTTGAGGTGCATTTGTTAAACATTCATGGATATTTAGGAGTGTATTACAAGGACGTGCTAATATAGGCTGAGCATCCTTTAGTCAGAATCCAAAATATGAAGTAATGACACCTTTGCTTCATAGAATCATAGAATCAAAGAGTTGGAAGAGACCTCATGGGCCATCCAGTCCAACCCCTCTGCCAAGAAGCAGGAATATTGCATTCAAATCACCCCTGGCAGATGGCCATCCAGCCTCTGTTTAAAAGCTTCCAAAGAAGGAGCCTCCACCACACTCCGGGGCAGAGAGTTCCACTGCTGAACGGCTCTCACAGTCAGGAAGTTCTTCCTCATGTTCAGATGGAATCTCCTTTCTTGTAGTTTGAAGCCATTGTTCCTTGTCCTAATCTCCATGGAAGCAGAAAACAAGCTTGCTCCCTCCTCCCTGTGGCTTCCTCTCACATATTTATACATGGCTATCATATCTCCTCTCAGCCTTCTCTTCTTCAGGCTAAACATGCCCAGCTCCTTAAGCCGCTCCTCATAGGGCTTGTTCTCCAGACCCTTTATCATTTTAGTCGCCCTCCTCTGGACACATTCCAGCTTGTCAATATCTCTCTTGAATTGTGGTGCCCAGAATTGGACACAATATTCCAGGTGTGGTCTAACCAAAGCAGAATAGAGCATGGGGAGCATGACTTCCCTAGATCTAGACACTATGCTCCTATTGATGCAGGCCAAAATCCCATTGGCTTTTTTTGCTGCCACATCACATTGTTGGCTCATGTTTAACTTGTTGTCCACGAGGATCTTTTTCACTTATAGCAGTTTTTATGTTCTGAGTCATAGAAAGTTTGAGGTGCATTTGTTAAACATTCAAGGATATTTAGGAGTGCATTACAAGAAAGTGCTAATATAGGCTGAGCATCCCTTATTCAGAATCCAAAGTATGAAGTAATGACACCTTTGCTTCCTAATGGTGGTGGTGGTGAGTTGTTGTTGTTGTTGTTTATTCGTTCAGTCATTTCAGACTCTTTGTGACTTTATGGACCAGTCTACGTCAGAGCTCTCTTTCGGTTGTCACCACCTCCAGATCCTTCAAGGTCAATCCAGTCACTTGTTATTGTTGTTGTTGTAATTATTATTACCCCATTTTTATCTCTTAAGTTAGACCCAAAGTGATTCAGTGTGTACACAAAAAACTTTGTTTGATGTGCAAAAACATTGCGCATAAAATTATCTTCAGGCTACGTGTTTAAGGTGTATAGTGTCTAGTGTCTAGATCTAGGGAAGTCATGCTACCCCTCTATTCTGCTTGGTTAGACCACACCTGGAATATTGTGTCCAATTCTGGGCAACACAATTGAAGAGAGATATTGACAAGCTGGAATGTGTCCAGAGGAGGGCGACTAAAATGATCAAGGGTCTGGAGAACAAGCCCTATGAGCGTCTTAAGGAGCTGGGCATGTTTAGCCTGAAGAAGAGAAGGCTGAGAGGGGATATGATAGCCATGTATAAATATGTGAGAGGAAGCCACAGGGAGGAGGGAGCAAGCTTGTTTTCTGCTTCCCTGGAGACTAGGACGCGAACAATGGCTTCAAACTACAAGAAAGGAGATTCCATCTGAACATGAGGAAGAACTTCCTGACTGTGAGAGCTGTTCAGCAGTGGAACTCTCTGCCCCGGAGTGTGGTGGAGGCTCCTTCTTTGGAAGCTTTTAAACAGAGGCTGGATGGCCATCTGTCATGGGTGATTTGAATGCAATATTCCTGCTTCTTGGCAGGGGGTTGGACTGGATGGTCCATGAGGTCTCTTCCAACTCTTTGATTCTATGATTCTATGAAAAACAAATGAATTTCATATTTAGTCTTGGGTTCCATCTCCAAGAGCTCTTCATATGTATGTGTATGCTAATATTGGTATTCCAAAATGTGGGGGGGGGGGGGGATCCAAAATCTGAAACACCATTTTGGATAAGAGATACTCAACCTTCAGTTATATTAATAAATTATGGAATTAAATGTAACAAGATAGAGTGATTTCACCATAAAGCTAGGTGCCTTTGAAAGAGAATTGAAGACAATCAAATTGCAAGTTCAGCACAATTGAAAGGCACCAGATCCGGGGAAGCTGCGTTAGATCAAGACGTTCGCTAAATAAAC